GAAGTGTCATGATTTGTCCATAGTCACATAGCTGGTAAGAGTCAGGGACACAATTCAAATCCAGGTCTTCTTCATTCAGGTTCAGATGCCAAACTTTGTGAAGTCATATATCATGGGATTATAGATTTAAAACTGGAAGGGACTTCAAGGGCCATTTACTCTAACTCACTCATTTAAGAGATGAGTAAACCGAAGCCCAGAGAGGTGAACTCTATAGTCAGTGCTCTCATCACTGTTCCATTTTACTGGCTACTCTGTGTATGTCTTCTCAGTATATGTGACTCAAATCTCCAGTACTTAGTAGACAAAGATCTAACATTATCAACTGCTAAGCTAATTATTTTCCTTTCCTTTCCTTTTTTCTTGTGAAGTCTAAATGAAAAAAGAGAGAAGGATATTAGGGGACAAGTGAAGACCAGTGGTGAAGAGAGAGCTGTTTTATTTTGATCTTTTCCCCTTTTTATCAGTAATTTGAAGAAAGAAAGAAAAAAAATCAGAAACCTCCAAAGGTCTGTGTTCTGTTCTTCATTGCACCAGGGAAGCAAAAGACACATTGAAGAAAAGAAAGGGGGTGACTGGGGATCTGGCCCAGACTGAGGAGTATATCCAGATTCTCAGAGTAGTCTCCTTAATGAACTTCAAGACATACTCTTCGGGATTTGGTTTGTACAGAGAATCAAAGTTACTAATAGTTCATGGATTAAAAATAGATGATCTCTTGAACCTTGATGACTACAAGCCCTGAGGTAATTTTGCTGGTAGGATGATGATAATCTCAGAAATTGGTTTCATACCAAAATAACATTTACGCTTGACTACAGGCACTAGTGAAGTCAGAAAATTAGCTGGTTGATCAGGAACCCTACAGGAACTTTTTGACAAAACAAGAAAACAGTGTAAAACCTGAGTCTGACATTTACTCAGAAAGCTGTGAAGCAGCCGGGCCTGGAGGGCCCCAGGCAGCAAGAGGAAATGCCACTCTTGTATAATGATGAGACACTGATGGAGTCAATGGATGCCCAAAAGACTCTTATGGTTCTCTCTTATTTTATCTATCAGCCCCTGGTCTCTGACTCATTGCGCTAACAGAAGAATTTTGGTATTTTTTCCCCTTGATAACAATAGTTGAGGACTCAACAATGATTTGCTACTTATATATGACTTAGACCTCCTAGCTTACTAGTCTAATCCTTACATATGATCATATGGGAGGACGTAAGATGTTACAGAAAGGACACAGGAGATTCTGGTTAACATATAGCCCTGATCCTTGACATTACTAACCAGGTAACAGCAGGAAAATCATTTTATCTTCCTAAGCCTCAGCTCTTTCATCTGTAAGATATGGGAAATGATATCAACTCACTGGTCTTTTATTAGCAAAGCCCTTTATAAACTACAAAAATCTTCAATTTAACAGTTATTAGGTATCTATCAAGTATTGAGAAGTTTAGAAACTGTTAAATATGCATTCTCATTTCATCCTCACAATAGCCCTCTGAAATACTATCTGAATTTGACAAATAAAGGAATTAAAACTCATATAAGAGAAGACATAGGAAGGCATGGGGGAATATTATAGTCATCTTCAATATTTGGAAGATAGATATATAGATGTGGTGGAATGGATAGAATGCTGGATTTGGAGTCAAGAAGACATGAATTCAAATCCTTCCTCTGATACTTCATAGCTGTGAGACCACGAGCAAGTTACTTAAATTGTTATACTCAGGGTGGCTAAAATGCTGGATTTGGAGTCAGAAACACCTGTGTTCAAATCCTACTACCGACACTTGCTATCAGTGTGACTATGATTAAATCACTTCTCTGAGCCTTGGTTTCTACATCTGCAAAATGAAGACAAATAATTTCTTTAATACTTATGCAATGGGGTTGTTATGAAATTCAAATAAGACAACACTTACAAAGTATTTTGCAAACTGTAAGGCACTATATAAATGTTAACTATCCTAATAAAAAGTTAATTATTTTAAAATGCTGTATTAAATTTAATATCTTACTAGCATTTTGTCTATCCTTGTACAAAATTGTAAATATACAATAACTTCAAAAATGCCTCATAGAGAGAGGCAGAGTCAAGATGGCAGAGTAAAGAGAGGTACTCACCTGAGCTCTCCCCCAAACCCTTTCAAGTACCTTTAAAAATGACTCTAAACAAATTCTAGAGCAGCATAACCCACAAAAAGACAGAAGGAAACAGATTTCAAGCTGAAGACAACTTGGAAAGTTGGTGGGAAAGGTCTGTTGCACCAGGTTAAGAGATGGGGGCAGTCCACCACAAGCTGCATCAGCATAGTCCCAGCCACAGCAAACCAGGAGCAGGCCTTGAGAGCCACTAAATCAGCAGTAACAGGAGCTGCTCATGGAGCTCTCTGCCCACAGATGGTAAGGGGATTTAACAACTGGTTAGAAGGAGATTATAGAGGTCTTTTTGCTAGCACTGAGGCATGACTCTGTTGCTTTGCCCATACTTGCATCTGGGTCACAGTCTTGTGTGGCAGTTCTGGGGTGAGGAGGAGCACTGGCACAGTAAAGCTTATGGCAGCAGTGCAGAGAGAACCCTCCTCACAGTTCCAGGGCAGAATAGAGTGCTTCAGGTCATTCAGAGACCAGAGCACAGGCCACAAGAAGAGTAAAATCTCTCCTTAGATCATATCACCTCAGAAGAACTGAAAACTTACAGGTCTCTAGAAGTATCTCTGAAAACAGCTGCACAGAGTCCCTGAAGCTTGAGACAGTACACCCTCAACACTGGAATTGGAGCCCTACCTTAACAAAGAGTTAAAAGTCAAGTAATAGGCGGGGAAAATTAGTGAACAACAGGAAAAACTCTGACTGTTGAAACTTACTATGGTGACAAGGAAGATCAAAACACACACTCAGAAGAAGATAACAAAATCAGAGCTTCTACATCCAAAGTTTCCAACAAAAATATGAATTTGTCTCAGGCCATGGAAGAGCTCAAAAAGGATTTTGAAAATCAAGTAAGAAAAGTACAGGAAAAATTGGGAAAATACATGAGAGTGATGCAAGAAAATCATGAAAAACAAGTCAATAGGTTGATAAAGGAGACACAAAAAAATGCTGAAGAAAATGACACTTTAAAAAACAAACTAGGCCAAATGGTAAGAGAGGTTGAAAAAGCTAATGAGGAGAAGAACGCCTTAAAAAGCAAAATTTACCAAATGGAAAAGGAGGTCCAAAAACTCACTGAAGAAAATCATTCCTTAAAATTAGGATGGAACAAATGGAAGCTAATGATTTTATAAGAAATCAAGAGACAATGAAACAAAACCAAAAGAATGAAAAAATAGAAGACAATGTAAAATATCTCACTGGAAAAACAAGTAATCTGGAAAATAGATCCAGGAGAGATCATTTTAAAATTATTGGACTACCTGAAAACCATGATCAAAAAAAGAACATAGACATTATCATTCAAGAGAACCAGAGGGTAAAATAGAAATTGAAAGAATCCATATCACCCTTGAAAGACATCCCAAAATGAAAACTACTAGGAATATTGTAGCCAAATTCCAGACCTCTCAGATCAAGGAGAAACTACTGCAAGTAACCGGAAAGAAATAATTCAAGTATCATGGAGCCACAGTCAAGATAACACAAGATTTAGCAGCTCCTACATTAAAGGATCAGAGGGCTTTGAATATGATATTCTGGGGGTCAAAAGAGCTAGCACTACAACCAAGAATCACCTACCCAGCAAAACTGCATATAATCCTTTACGGGAAAAAGGGACATTCAATGAGAGAGAGGACTTTCAAACATTCTTGATGAAAAGACCAGAGCTGAATAGAACATTTGACCTTCAAATACAAGACTCAAGAGAAGCATAAAAAGGTAAACAGGAAAGAGAAATCATAAGAGACTTAATCAGACTAAACTGTTTACATTCCTACACGAGAAGATGATATTTGTAACTCATAAGACCTTTCTCACTATACATCAGGGTAGTTAGAAAGAATATATAAAACTAGAGGGCACAGGTGTGAGTTGACTATGAAGGGATGATATCTAAAAAATAAAATTAAGGGGTGAGAAAGGAATGTACTGGGAGAAAGAGAAAGGGAGAGGTAGAATAGGGTAAATTATTTCACATAAAAGAGGCAAGAAAAAGCTTTTACAGTAGAGGAAAGGAAGGTAGGGAGAAGTGAGGGGGGGTAAGTGAACCTTATTCCCATCAGAACTAGCTCAAAGAGGGAATGACGTACACACTCAATTGGGTTTAGAAATCTATCTTACCCTACAAGAAAGTAGGAGGAAGGGGATAAGAGAAGGTGGGAGTAATAGAGAGGAGTCCATTTTGGGAGAGGTGATAGTGAGAAGCAAAACACTTTTGAGGAGGAATAGGGTGAAAGGAGAGAGAGAATAGAATAAATGGTGGGAATAGATTGGGAGGGGCAATACAGTTAGCAATTGTAACTGTGAAAAAATTTTTGAAGCAAGTTTCTTTGATAAAGACCTCATTTCTCAAACATATAAAAAATTGAGACAAATTTATAATGAAAAAAAAAAGCCATTCCCCAGTTGACAAATGATCAAAAGATATGTTTTCAGATGAAGGAATCAAAGCTATCTAAAGGCATATAAAAATACTCTAATTTACTATTGATTGGAGAAATGCAAATTAAAACAATTCTAAGGTACTGTCTCATACCTGTCAGATTGGCTAATAGGACAGAAAAGGTAAAAGACAAATGCTGGAGGGAATGTGGAAAAATTAGACATTACTGCACCATTGGTGGAGTTGTGAACTGATTCTACCATTCTATAGAGCAATGTGGAACTATGCCCAATAAAACCATGGATACCCTGTGCCTGAGCAATATCACTACTAGTTCTATATCCCAAAAGAGATTTTTAAAAATAAAGGAGAAGGAACTATATGTACAAAAATACTTGTAGCTGCTCTTTTTTTAAAAAAAATTTAATTTTTAATTACAACTGTATAACAGACCACTTTATTCTTGCATCTTTTCAATGGTTTCTTCTTTATATTTGCCCTTCTCCTTTCCAACTTGTCGGGATTTGGCTTTATGTTCAAGAATCCTTTTGCAATCTTTATCCAGTTTTAGTCTGGTGATAACTACCTTACTAGGGTGAATGCCCACATGGACAGTTGTGCCATTAGCTTTTTCATGCTGCACACACTCAATGTAGATGACGTATTTCTTTCTGTAAACCTGTACTACCTTGCCAATTTGCTGACCTTTGTAGTGTCCACGAACCACCTGGACCTCGTCGTCCTTCCAGATGGTCATTGAGTGGACATTGTACTTCTGCCTCAGCTCCTTGGAGAGTGGGGACAACATAATCTTGTGCTGGATTTGCAAGGGCATATTGAAGCGTCTCTTGAGATTCTTGCTTTGGTCTGAGGTCACGGATGGATTGAACTTCATTTTGGCAAGTTGGACCACCTGAAAAAACATAGCTGCTCTTTTCTGGGGGCAAAGAATTAGAAATTGAGAGGATGCCCATCAATTGGGAAATGGCTGAACAAATTGTAGTATATGATTATGATGGAATACTATTGCACTATAAGAAATGATGAGCAGGATGCTCTAGAAAGAAACCTAAAAACCTAGACAGATTTGCATGGGCTGATACAAAGTGAAGTATACTGTGTACAAAGTAACAGCAATGTTGTAAGTTGATCAGCTATGAATGACTTAGCTATTCTCAGCAATACAATGATCTGAGACAATTTTGAAAGGCTTATGATAAAGAATATTATCCATTCCCAGAGAAAGAACTAGTGGTGTCTAAATACAGATTGAAGCATACTTCTTTTTATTTTCTTTATTTTTCTTGAGTTTTTTTGTCTCTGTTTTCTTTCACAACATAACTATTGTGGATATGCATGACTACACGTGTAAAACCTATATCAAATTGCTTCTCATTGTGGGGGTGGGGGAGAAGGGTGAGAATTTGGAATTCAAAGCTTTAAAAAATAAATGTTAAAAATTGTTTTTACATGTAACTGGGGGAAAATGAAATACTAAATTTTAAAAATGCCTCACAGAAGCCATGTACCCTCTTCCCAGCAGGGATAAAATGTGTTGCAATTAGAACAAAATGGCTTGGTATGACCATGTAACCTATATGGAAATGACAAAGGCCAGATGCATGACTCCAAATGCCACCTTGGGGGAACAAATAAGTGTCTCCAGGATTGTAATGGAAATCATGAAGATGAATTCCAACCCTCTTCAGCACCTGCTAGGAAGAACTCCATTTTTGCCGCCAAAAAGGGTTAAGTACTAGATGCAAAAGAAATAGCTTTCTGTCTGGTCTTCTTAGCTGACAGGACAAGGGAAAATAGTATGGAAAATCAGTAGAGTGACATTTCATTGACAGTTGGGGAGGGGGGTTAAATATCTCAAATTATTAACTTTAAAATGTAAACAGTTTTTAAACAAATGTAACTTAAAATAATATTTCAGATGATCAGTTATAACATCACATATAATGTATCTCAGATAAAGACAGATCCCTTATACTTACAAAAATGTCCCAATTGTAAGCACTTAATAAACCCTGATGAAGAAGGAAAGGAAGAGGAGGAGGAAAAGGAGGTGAAGGAGACAATGAAATGGTTTGGCTGTAAATAACAATTATATACTATTGTGTTAGGCACATAGGTCCTTAAATATTTGCTGATTGACATCATTTCCCTTAGCATGATTTCTGATTCAGAAATACAATCATAGACAGATTGGGAAAATGGAATATTTGCTTATCTAGTTTTCCTATTAAGAATGTGGTGCAGTGAACAAATATACTGGATTTAGAGACAGATATGGTTGTTTAATCATTTTCAGTCATTGTACAACTCTTTGTGATCCCATTTGGCATTATCTTGGCAAAAGTTCTAGAGTGGTTTGCCATTTCATTCTCATATTACAAATGAAGAAACTGAAGCAAACAGGGTTAAGTGACTTGCCCAGGTCACACAGTTAGTGTCTGAGGCCAGATTTGAACTTAGGAAGATAAGCCTTCCTGACTCCAGGCTTGGTGCTCTATCCCCTGCACCACCCAGCTTCAAGTCCTAACTCTACTACTTGCTACTTGGTCGATTTGGGTCAAGTTAGTTAACCTCTTTGAGCCTCAGTTTCCTCATCTTTAATATTAGGGGAGGTATCCTCTGAGGATATACAGTTCAAAATCTGTGATCAAAAGTTTCTTTTCCTTTTTGCATATTTTACCACCCCATAAAGAGGTGGCGGGAAATTTTTTAAGCAATAACTGCCCACTTTAAAAATCTGTGATTTTGGGGCAGCTAGGTGGAGCAGTGGATAGAGCACTGGCCCTGGAGTCAGGAGGACCTGAATTCAAATCCAGCCTCAGACACATAATACATCCTAGCTGTGTGACTCTGGGCAAGTCACTTAATCCCAATTGCCTCACTTAAAAAAAAGAAAAAAGAAAAAAAACCTGTGATTTCACTGCTTTAATTATTTCCGTCACTGGTAAAAATCACAACCTTTACATGCATTTAGTAGACTGTTTAGTGAATTGCTATGGCCAAAAAAACTCATTCCAAGTCTTTTGGTGAAAGATCTCCATAAATTTGCCAAGCTCTAAACAGAAGTACTTAATCTTTTCTATGTCATAGACTCTTTTCAGTACAGTAAAACCTATGGAGCCCTTCTTAGAATAATTTTAAAATACATAGAACATAATACATAAGAAACTAATTATATTGATGTATAGTTATAAAAATTTATTTCTAAAAAAATTCACAGATTCCAAGTCAAGAACCCTAGAGTATAGTTACTAGATAATTGACTCATGCTTTGACTGTTGCAATATCTTGCTGGTTGTTCTCCCTGTCTCTAGTCTCTCACCACTCCATTCAGCTATCAAACTGATCTTCCTAAAGTACATGTGTGACCACATCATCCCTCTATTCAATAAATCCTAGAGTCAGTCAGTAAACATTTATTAAATACCTACTACGTGCAAAGAACCAAGCTAAGTGCTATTTGTGGATGCAAGATAGGTAAAAGACAGTACCTGCTTTCAAGTTCACAATGTAATGGAAGAGACAACATGCAAACAATTATGTATAAACAAGATAAACTGGAACTAATTAACAAAGAGATAGCACTAGAATTAAGAAGGATCTAGAAAAATTTCCTATAGAAGATGAGATTTTGTCTGAGACTTGAAGAAAGCCAGGGAAGCCAGGAGAGCATTCTAGGTATAGGGCAGCAAATGAAAATGCCCTGAGGTGGGAGATGGTGTGTTGTGAATTACAAGTATAAGGGATATAATTCTGGGTTGAACCCAATCTCATCATTAGCCCTGTCCTGCAGAGGCTGCCTTGACCTAGTAACTGACTGAGGAAAAAGAAAGAGAAAAAAAAATTAGATTCCCTCTAATATGAATTGGTTAACAATCATTTCTCTCAAGAGTCTTGTTTGAAGAACAGAAAAGAAAACAACATCACTGAATCTTAGAGTATATGGGTTGTAATAAAGCATGAGAAAACAGGAAAGGTGGGGTGGGGATGGGGGCCAAGTTGTGAATAGTTTTTGGATGCCAAGCAGGATTTTACATTTGATACTGGAGGTGACAGGGAGTCACTACAGTTTATTGAATAGGGGGATAAAATGATCAGACTTTTAGGAAAATTAATTTGAAAGCTGAGTAGAGGATAGAATGGAATGGGGAGAGACTCGAGGCAGAGAGACCAAGCACCAGACTATTGCAGTAGTCCTGGTGTAAGGTGATCAAGGTTGGCACAAGGGTGGTGGCACTGTCCAAGGAGAGAAGGAGGCATATAAGACAGATGTTACAAAAGTAAATATGGCAAAATTTGCCAATGGATTAGACATAAGGGAAAGAAGAAGGTAAAAGAATGGGGGGAATTGAAGATGACCTCTAAGTTTTGAGCCTGGGAGACTGAGAAGATGGTGGTGTCTTTGACAATGATAGAGAAGTTTGGAAGGGGAGAAGGTTTTGGGGAAAAGAGGAGTTCAGTTTTCGACATTTTGAGTTTAAGATGTCCATAGGATATTCATCTGAGTTGTTTAGTATATAGTTAGAGACATAAACTAGAGGTCAGCAGAGAAGTTAGGGCTGGATAAGTTAATTTGAAAATCATCTGCATAGGTTAATAATTGAATCCATAAAAGTTGATGAGATCACCAAGTAACATGGAATAGAGAAAAAGGAGAAGAAGACCCAGGGCAGAACCCTCTGGAACTCGCATGCTTAGTAGGCATAACCTGGATGAACATCTAGCAAAGGAGACTGAAAAGGAGTAATCAGACTGTAATCAGACAGACCCAGATGGCTCCAGAGGAGAAAGCTAGGCTGGTGACTCTGAAAAGCCCTCCTTCACCCTACTACATACTAGACAGCTCAAATGGATGCACAGCCCTCCCTCACTCAAATCCAATTCACTTGCAAGTCATGGCAATATCTTCCCTATGCCATGGTCCTCTTTGAGAATGAAGGACAAACAACCAGTAACCACAGAGAGAGCAGTTGAATGATGAAACCAGAAGACAGATGGTTGAGAATTAAAAGAAAGGGAAAAGAAAGGAAGTAGAGTTTAGCCACAAGAGAAAGGAAAGATATGGGATTAGAGTTTAAAGGGACCTTAGAGGTCATCCATAAAAATGCCTGTGTTAAAAGATACAGAGTTCAGAGAAGTTCAAATAGAGAGAAAATATGAGTGGAGAGTAGAGAACTTTCAAAAGAGAGTAATTTCTTGGAATGAGAATGCTGTGGGAAAGCAATGGAGCCATGCTCTATGTGTGTTGTGGTAGTTGGGAGGGGGGCAGGGAAAGGATAGAGAATTGTGGGCAGGGGAATGATAGGTAAGAGATGAAAGCAAGACAAACAATAACTCTTCCTACAGAATCTCTCACTCCTGAAATGGCATACTGCCACCAGTTCACAAGTTAAGCCATGGCTAAGTTAGAAAGGTTTCTGAAAAAACAAACCAAGTCTGGGACTGCTTCCTCCTGCCCCAAATCCAACATTTCCTTGGAACCTGAAGAATTTTCTAGGAGACAGGCCTCCTCTGCTGGATTTTACATCCATGTTCCCCAGCCTGGCTATAGTTTTCCTTCTTTAGCTTCTCCCTTTCATTTACATGTGAATATGGCCCTTACCCATGCGCATTCCTGGAAACTTAAATATTCCCCACTACATTGAACAGTCTAAAAACCCATAAAATAAAGGTCAAAGCAATTCATACAAGAAGTATCATGCAAATAAAACCCACCACATACATTCAAACCATAAAACAGGCAGAGAACACAACAGCTAGACAAATTGTATGCACTTGCTTCAAAGTAGAATTTATTCATGAAAATAAATCAGGACTTTTTAAAAACCATGAAAACTGAGAAGCTGTTCTTATCTCAAGCCACAAAAGTCTCCTACTCTACATTTTGGATAGTGATTCTAGAATCACATGTGTTTATTTAGTGGGGTAGCAACTGTTATCATCCTCACTAACACTTTCATTGTCTTGAATGCAGATGAAACTGCCAAAACTACTAACAGCATTTCCAGGTAAATTTTGTTAGAATGTTGTTGTTCAGTTATGTCCAACTCATTGTGACCCCCATTTGGGGTTTTCTTAGCAAAGGTACTGGAGTGGTTTTCCATTTTCTTCTCCAACTCATTTTCTTTTATTTATTTTAATTTATCAACAATCACTTCCATATGCTTTTGAGTTGAAAATTTTTCTTCCCCTTCCTCCCCCCCACCCTCCCCAAGACAGTGCACAATATGATATAGGCTTTACATTTACATTCCTATTAAACATATTTTCACACTAGTGAAGTTGTGAGTAAAAATTAAAACCAATAGGAGGAATCATCAGAAAGAGGAAACAAAACTCAACAGAAGATAAAAATAAGTGATAGCGATTCGACTTCCATAGTTCTTTCTTTGGATGTGGACAGCATTTTCCATCCTGAAGCCTCTGGAGATGTCTTAGATCCTTGTAATGCTGAGAAGGGTTCAGTTTAACAATATTAGTCATCGTATAACATGGCTGTTATTGCATACAAAGTCCTCTTGGTTCTGCTCACTTCACTCAGCATCAGACCATATAAGTCTTTCCAGGTTTTCTTAAGTCAGCCTGTTCATCATTTCTTATAGCACAATAGTATTCCATTACATTCATATACCACAACTTGCTCAGCCATTCCCCAATTGATGGGCATCCTCTCAATTTCCAATTCTTTGCCACCATAAAAAGAGCTGCTATGAATGTTTTTTGTACATGTGGGTCCTTTTCCCATTTGTTTGATCTCTTTGGGATATAGCCCTAGAAGTGCTATTGCTTCTTTGGCTCATTTTACAGATGAGGACTGAGGTAAACAGGGTTAAGTGACTTGCCCAGGGTCACATAGCTAATAAGTGTCTGAGACCAGGTTTGAATTCAAGAAAATGCATCTTCCTGGTTTCCAGTCCAGTGCCCCACCCACTGCACAATCTTACCATGTAAATTTTACTTGCCATTAAAGCTAGTCTTATGGGCATAAAACAAAATGGTTTCTTGCTTGCTTTATTAATAGAATGTGTGTGAGGGGGAGAGGAAGAGAAGCAATTTCATGGCATTTTTCTTTCTGCTTACATTGATTGCATCTAAAACCATGTCACCCTTTCTCTCCCACTTCTCTGACATCAGTAGCTCTTTTTAGTTTTTGTCCTTTCTACATAATTCTGATCTGAGAAGCACTCGCTCACTTGAATTAGAGAAAGGCTAATCTCCAGAGAATGTAGAAAGTTGATCACAATGTCTCAGGAAGAAAACTTCATTCCCCCATCATCTGTTCAATTTGTATCTTGCTGGTGTCATCATTAATCTCCAAATTAATTGAGCTTCTTGGTGGAATGTTATTAATCAAGGTATCCCCATCACTTCCTGGATTCAGCACTTTTCCTTTGGTGATCTAACCAAAGTCACCTAGAAGGAACACAGGAGGTGGAGAGAGAGAAAGGCAAGATGGCCATTTAGTCTGTTATCTCAAGGCAAAATGAAGGCACGAAATGTAGCAATAAGTCTGTTCAACTAAGGAACAAGTGGTCAAATCGTTTCACCATGCTCAATATAAAGTACAACATTACATAAAAGACTATAATTTCCTCTGTAATTAGAGCCTCTGTAGTCACTATTATAATTACTTTTCTTTTTGTTTTCACATGTCTTCATTTAAAAAAGAAAAATTCTTGGTTAGATTCTCAAAAGCAAGAACTGGCCAAGAACTATACTGATATTCAATTATCTTCAGCATTCACCATATTTTGGTTTAATTACCTCATTAAGTCAACTAACCTTATCCTCCTTGACCCACTTTTCCTTATATATCCCTATTTCCCTCTCATTTTTATTTAAAAGTCTAAGAAATTCCTGGCTATTCTGGCTCATTAAGGATGTTGACACGGAGAATTCATTCTCTCACTGCTCTTTCATAAACAGCTTTATTTTGGGGTTAGTATCAGAAGGCAATATCATTCAAAAGACATTCAGGGCATCTTGATATTGAATTCATGGCAATGCTGGGGTAATAACCATCCCATTATCAGAAGAAGTCCAAGTTGCCTATAATTCTGTCTGAATCTTCAAAGCAGTTGATTAGCAATCACTTCTTAACTCTGCTCTCTACAGGGTATGTACCCAGGTTTTAATGACCATCTAGATGTATGCCTGTGTCCATCAATCATTTGATTGGGTGAACTCCAATCAAATCTCCCACCTCCATCTCCCACTTACTTAACTAAAACTCCCATTATGCCCCCAAACCTGTATGTCATTTAATTACCTTAAGGCATTTTAGAATGCATTTAAGCAAACTGATATTTTTTAAAAGCATAAGCACCATAATAGCCAAGCAATCATGCATACATCCCTAACCACAACCCTCAATCAGTCTCCTTTCTGACCTGATCCCACCTCATTCCCAAAATAGCCAGCAGTAGAAAACCTGGAAATTTAGTCCTTACCAATTACCAGTCAAGACCAAAGCAAAGGCAAGTCATCCACAAATAGGGACACTGTCACACCACATTAATGAATACAGAAACTATAGACACCCTGACTCTGTGTTGGTCATCTACTTTGCTTGAGATCATGCACATACATTGAGCTATGCTTCTGATTGAATAGTGTCAGGACAAAGTCTATCAAGTTTCCACACAGGGAGATAGAATTATCTGATCCCCACATCCTTCCAAAGGCAATCAGCAGAAGAGAGATAAACCAGGTGGCTGCCATCCATCCACCACTGTTGAAACTCACTCTCAGCATCCTGTTTCGATCACCTCAGCCCTCTATTGCTCATCGACCTCACTGGATAGTTCTGTGGCTAGGCCTTTCTGTCACTGTTTAGAGGGTAAAAAAAACCTTCATACTTTACTAGGGTAGCTGTTCTGATGCAGGGCATTTGGGGACTATTCCTCTCAGAAAAAAGTAGGTGATAAAGTAATCAAAGGGTAGAAGAGAGCTTGGGGATAATTTATACCACAGAGAGGTTAAGTGATTGACCTAGGAGCTCACATCTGGTCAGTGGAAGAGGAAGGATTCAAACACAAGGTCTCTGACTCCAAATCCCATGTACTTCCCAGGAATCCATATTACATCCCATTTGCAAAGAGAATCTCTCTGTTAGAGTGGCATTTCATGAGGTTTTTTTCCTCTCAAAATTCAGCGGTGAAACATTAGAATCCATAGTTGTTCCCAGAATAACATGTGTAATAATGTACCAAGAGTTGTATTATTCAGAAAGTATCAATAAGGTAGTGTTCTAATAGGAAACAAAAACTTAACAGATAAAATTAAATATTTGTATAATATATGTGAGACCTGAGAAAAGATGAAAATAACTTATTTTACAGATATTAAACTTCTGAGGCTCAATGTCTGAAAGCAGTACTCTGCAGGGACTAATCAGTAATCCCTGAGTGTCCAAATGATCCTGAAGCTGTTCTGAAAGTCTCATCACATTTCATAAATCTCACTAAAAAAGACAGAGAAATTGTAATAATACGAATGAAATACAAATAATTGAAGTACAAACAACATTGTTTCCCATTACAATAACAATAAGCAATTATATGTAGTTAACTTTTCATAAGATTTCATGAGATTACACAAAGACACACAGAGCTCCCAAATGATTCTGTTACTTTGATTCACAAGATGATCTTATTTTGAATTCCTTTGAAACTTTTTCAGAAAAATACCTCTCTTGTGAAACTTTGCTTTCCATTAAAAGCCACTTAAATAAATACTATCTTACTAATTCCACATTCATTTAGAGAAAAACAAAAACTATTTCCTACCAAGAATGGGCCTGTTGGTTTTTTACATAAGTTGGGTTGTTCCCTGTACCTTACATCTTGAACTTATTTACCATAAGCTGATACAAATCATTCATAATAAGAACATTGTGTGTTCTTCATGGATTACCTAGGATCTTCCACCTCATAAAGTAAGGAAATCATCCATTCATCTCCGGGGAGAGTAACAATTGTGACATCTATCACCATACCTATGTGTTTGTTTTGTCCCATGTGAAAACCCTATAAAAAGGAGGGTGTTTCAAATGCTGGTCAGATTACAGTGAAGAGATTGACTCAGCTCAGGAGTTAGGAAGAGCAGTCCCTGTATCCAAGCTTAAGATCTTCAGTGAATGGTAAGGTCTTTTGTGGCTTCACAGGAATTCTCTGCATAGGAAGATTCTGAATATTAACCAGTATCATTGAGAGAGGAGCACACCTCATAACAGAGAGCGCATTGCAGGTCAGAGTGAATAGAAACTCGACTTGTATTTATCTTTTCCCTGGAACTTCCCACTGCTTATACAAAATGTTCTCTCTGTAGCAGTAAGTTTTCCATGTGTGTGTTTTTTTTTCTTTACAACACATCAATAACAAAAACCAAGTTTCTCAGGTAATACTGTGAAATAGGAAAGCTTATCTTATATAGGTTGCTTTTGTTTACTCTATTGATGTCTCATCTGCTTTCTTCTTCATTCAGTTTAAATTACTATTGCACAATTTCTCTTGTTTTAAGACTGACTTCTTTCTGTCTTACAGATGAAAATTCCTTAATCAGTAGTTGTGACAAGATTTTAGCTTGTGTCTTGTTCAAGCACTGAAGTTTTCATTTTATGCTCAACTGCTTCGTTATGAGAGTAATTAAGTCTTCACTTTTTGCAGTTTTAAATATTTTGTTTTGTTAATCCTCTTATAGAAGAACTTCAAATCCTGGGGGTTTTTTAGAAACTTATGTTAAGAGAAAGGATATAAATACCTTTTACTTCCTCCATACACGTTCTCTTTTCTAAAGGAATAAATACTTGAATAATAATATACTCATCAATGGGAACTTGGCATTATTTTATGCTATTAATAGGTTTTAAGGTATCTGCAGGAGCAAGGGAAGAGGATTCTAGAGTAATCTTTTTCTGTTTCAACAACTCTGAATACGTGTCTCTCCTAACTTTCTCCTCTTTACCAGATAATTAAAATAGAATTAGAGGAGACATCAATTATTCATTGGTCCCTTTTTTGAAACTCATTCCTTTAGTTAGAAGGATTTCAAGTTGACTGCTCACTTATGCCTCTGTTCAAAAGGGAGTTAGTGTCCCTTGAGTTCATATGGGTTTCTTTGAAAAATCAGCATATAGTATATAAATGTGAGAAATCCATATGTAATGTGCTACATATAGCTGGAGACTATTTTATATTCAAAGTGATGGAGCAAAATGGCAGAAATTCTATAGCTTGAATCTGTAACCATGGTAAAGTTTTATCTCTTTTGATAGAAAGACCGCCACTTGTTTTGAACTTGGCAAAAACTTGGTGTGTTTCTATGTGATGTGCTGGACTGTTTTGTAGATGACATCTGTGGCCCTTGAAGGTGATTTAAATGTTTGTTTTTCACTTATTTCAGATATTCAAAGATGGAAGCCAGAAGTAGCTCCCAGCTCCTGGTATCACTGATGCTTCTTAATATCTTCTGCTCACAAACACTGGCATTACCTCTTGGAACATATTCTGCCATGAGGTAAGGTGTCTTTTATCTTGAGAAGTTGCCATCTCTCTCCCAACTCTCCTGTGAAGTAGGATGAGGGGCCATATCCTGCTGACCACTTAAAGTTGGAGCTATTTGAAAATGAGTCTTTTTTACTTGGTGATCTTCAATGATATGATATTCTTATTCATTTTATTCCCCAATCAATTCCAGACTATAACATCAATGATTATAAAGGTGCCCTGAAATTCACTTCTCTAGCATCAGCTAGAGCAGTAGGATGTAGGACATGGGTAGGTCAGAACACATCCCCAAATAATCCAAAGGTAGGCTTTTTTTCTTTTCTTTCTTTATTAGAGTCTCATTAGTACAAAATATTTTTAAACCATCATTAACTTGGTGTACTTTCTCAGGTAACATCAATTATCTGCATGGTATTTTCATTTCAGTTACTTTCTTCTGGAATCCATTAGATAAAATTTTCAGGAAATATTACAGATATCAATATTGGTGTTTTTTCTTCCAAAAATTTTCTCTTTTAGCACTTGGGCCATGTTGTGATATTGTATATTACAGCCAACAAAGAAAAGATCTTTTTGGAGGTATAAATAACCTGACTCAAAGCTCTGAATCATAGATATTGACAGAATTAATTCAATATGAGGGGTTTTTTTTAAAGGAAATCATACATAGTATAAAACATTTGTAATATGATTTGATTTTTATCCCCATGTATTTAGTTATTCCATCTTCTATGATGGATGCCACATTTCAGAGCTTTAAAAAAAATTCTATACTAATTGAGTGGAGGTCAAGCAAATATTGTATCTTTCAGGTTTTCACATAAAGGAAATTTATGTTAAATCTCAAAAAGGAAAAAAAAAACTTGCCAGTCTGAATCTCTCCTTCTGGTTTCATAGATAAAATCCTTTGCCAGTCTGTATAACCCTTCCTTATTACTTAATAGTCAGACTTTTATCCAGCTGAGTAAAAAATGTTCTATTGTCAGGAAAACTCAATCTCTAAGGCAATCAATCAAAACAGGTTACTGTACGTCTCTGAAAGATGCCCAGAAAGCAGTCACTTCTGAGACAGAACAATGGCAGCACCAACAGATTATTCTGGAGTGTAAGACACAGAGTTATGGGTGGCCATCCACCTTCTTGGCCCAGGTTGCAGTCCTGAACAACATTACTTGCTGAGGGGTACATTCCCATATAGGATGCTACACCACTGCATATTTTAAGAACTCTGAGAAGATTGACACTTTCCTTAAGCACTCTGCTTTGAATAGGCTAACGTACTTAAATTGGCTCATTTCATGTATGTGGTTTTATTTTTCAAACCAACTTCCTAATTTCATTCTTAGAAACACAGTTTTATTTTTTAATTTGGAATATAACATGTTCATTTTTCATATGCATAGCTTCCCCATCTGCCAATTGTATAATGGTTTCTACCTGTAGTAAACGTGCTCCCATTCACAAATATAGAGGGCAGCTACCTGCCACATGCAGTGATTCCAAGAAACTACACTGGAGCTTATTAATCTTCACAGGAATGCTATTGGCTCATTTAAGAATGTGCATAGCTAGTCACAAATATCTAGGATGACATAGGCAGAGTCTATCTTTTCCAGGAAAGCTTAGGAAACAAGCTATAAGGAAAGCTCCTCTCTTGCTCTTCTCATTTTTATCCTGTTTTCAATCCAAGCAAATGGAAGAATAAGCTCTTGGTTTCTGGCAGAAGACTTTTGTTAGACACACGCCAAATACTCACCAACTACTGTTACACATAGGGCAAAGTTACCATATCCAGACAGTTCCACTTCTGCCTTAGGCAAGTCCCAGATGAAATCTCTTTGAGGAGTACAAGTTTTAGGAAATATAATAGCAGAAACAGGCTATGCATTGACCCATTTATAAGTATAGATTGCAACAAGCATATTGCTGTCGTGTAACGAGAATCTAAGGATCATTTTCTTGACTTAGTACATGCAATGAATGTCTTTCTTCAGGGAAAAAAAGTGTAAGTCAAATTCATATATCCAACTTACTCTTCCTCTTATTTTCCTAACACCCATAATGCAAATACACCCAATCTATATATTTGTCATTGAGCATATAAATACATTAGCATTACGTATGTTTTTCTGTGTATGTCTATATCTATATACATGTGACACACACACACACAAATGTGGCATATATAAGCAGGAAGAGATGAAGCAGGATAAAGTAGAAAGATTGGTGAACTAGAAGTCAGGAGACCTGGGTTTACATCTTAGCTTTGACACAGACTTCTAACTATATGATCAGAGGCAAGTCATTTAACTTCTGCCTGCCTCTTTTTCTTATTAGTAAGATAAAGGTAATAACATTGACACTATGCACATCAGTGGGTTGTTATGGGGAAAAAGAAGATGGGGTAAGGGAATAAGCATTTATATAGCGCTTCCTACATACCAGTCCCTGTGCTCAGTGCCTTACAAATGTTATCTCATTTGTTCTTTACAACAACCCTGTGTGCAGTAAGTGCTATTATTATCATTTGACAGTTGAGGAAAATGAAGCAAATAGAGATCAAGTGTGTTGCCCAGGGTCACACAGCTAAGTGTCTGAGTCTGGATTTGAATTGAAGTCTTCCTGACTCCAGGGCCAGCACTCTACCCACTGTGCCACCTGCTGCACTTTGTGAAACTTCAAAAGCTGTAATAAGATTTCCTCCTTATCTGTGTTAACAAACATAAATTCCTCCCATATCCTTATTCTTCCTGCTTTTTCCTTCTTTGCATATCTTTCCATCTTCTCTTTTTCCTTCCTATGTTTGACTACCTTTTCTGTCTTCCTCAGAACTTAATGCCCTTCTCCCTCAAATCTGCCCAAAACAAGGCATTCTCATCTTTTGTATTTCATTGTTTTTTCACACTCTTCCTTACCTTTTTCTTTTTTTAATGGTATTAATTTCTGACTCTCTTTTTATTTTCTCATTTTACCCCATGATAAGAATAGATCCTTCTGGCCTTGCTTGGTATTTTTTCAATTTGTACAATCTATATTGCAGAAACACAAACACACATACACACACACACACACACACACACACACACACACATGCAAATGCATGCACATCATGGGACAGCAAAGAATTATCTGTATTTATTACCTGTTCACTATTAATAGAGACTTCTTTTTTAGAGTACATCTGTAAGTGTCTTGCTTTGAATGGCTTTTAATGTTTCTAGAAATGTTTTGTCATGTGGTAGTTTATAGCAAGCTCATGGTGTTTTCCCTTCCAGCAATGGTATGCTGTTTGACGGCCCTAGTGAACCTAACCAAAATCCAGGTTTATTAAAGGTGGAAAATGATCATCTGGAAAGTTCATTACCTGAAAATGACTTGTCTTTTGGGGATGCTCCC